GTGTGATTATTGATAGGTATGGAATTACTGCTGCCATTTTGTTACTTTTTTTGTGGTGTTAATGGTTTCTTTGTTCTTTACTTTCTGTGATGAGTTCTTCTTGTACATGGATTTTCTTTTCCTTTCATTTGTTATTGTTGTTTTTGTGTTTACTGAGTCTTTTTGATTTTCTTCTTCTTTGTTTTGTAGATTTATTACTTCTTTGTGGTTACTCTAAAGTTTACATTTATCATCTTAAATTTAAAACTGTTATATCTTGGGATCGCCTTGACATCCTCTTCATATGGAAGTTCTATAACTACAACATTCATTCCCCCTTTTGATTTGAAGTTGTCATGGTTTACATCTTTATATCTGTTTCCCTGTAGTCAACTTTGTAGCTTTGTTTTACTTTTTCCAAGTCTTTCTCTAGCTTGGCATTTGAGTGATGCTGTCATGTCTCTTTATCTCAGGTTGTCGTTTGATGTTGCTAATTTTCTGTCCAAAGGATTCTCTTTAATACTTCTTGAAGGGCTGGTCTGATGATTACAAATACTTATCATTTCTGCATATCTGGGAATGTCCTAATTTCACTTTCATTTTTGAAAGACAGTTTTGCTGGATATACGATTCTTGGTTGGCAGTTCTTTTTTCTCAGGGCTTTGTATATGTTGTCCCATTGCCTTCTTGCCTGCGTGGTTTCTGATGAGAAATCAGCACCTAGTTTTATTGAGGCCACTTTGTAGGTGATATTTTGCTTTTCTTGGGCTGCTCTCAAAATTCTTTGTCTTTGGTTCTGGACAATTTTATTATGATAGGTCTTGATGAATTTATTTTGGAGTCTATCCTGTATGGAGTTCATTGAGCTTCTTGGATAGAAATCCTCTCATCCCAAAATGGCCATGCTGTGGCACACCAGCAGGCAGGGCACGGTCGATCCTCGAATTTCTGTTTTCCTGCTGGTCTCATTCTGTCTCTCCTTCCAGTCGGTGCTCAGTCTGTTTCTTCAACCTTCCATTTGAGGTTCTGGGATCTAAAGTTGTTATTTGTGTCTGTTTTACTTAGTTTCGTGAGTTTTTGTTGTCGGGGGTTGGTATGTGCCTGTATCGACAACGCCATCTTAACCAGAACCTCTCCTGACAAAATAATTTATTGTAGCACTTTCTAAAAACTAAAGGGGAAGTGAGGGGGAAGAAAATATAACCAGTGGGTTTTTCGTAGGCTCGTTAAAAACTTTTGCTAGTATTAATGGAGAAACTGCCATGTTTCTGCACTGTTCCGGGAGCTCATTTAATTCCCATGTATAAGGTGGGGACTGCTATTCCCTCTGTGCTGCAGACAAGAACATGAAACATAAAAAGGCTAAGTATAACTTGTACAAGGTCAAATAGCCAATAACTCACTGGGCTCCAGTCAGTGTTCTTATGTAGTATCTGCTCTGTGGCCTCAATGAAACAGCATCCAATCAGTGCCCAGAAAAATAGACAATCACAAAGTAGGAGCTCAACAAACTATTTTTCTTTTCCTTTTCTACTCAAATGGCTCATTTTTATGGAATGAATTATAAAGAATTTCATTTGAAATTTACCCCATGTAGAGGCAAAATGTTAAAATCTTTCACCATGTTTGTTTACAGAACTATTTCTGAAATGTATTCTGTATTTATCATATACTCCCTGCTTTCTACATGCAAGTATATGGGACATAATTTAATTCATTTGATGATCCCTCCTGGCCATCACTGTGTGGCAGTGCAGGCAGCTTCCTGGGGTTTGCCACAGAGCTACATGCCCTCTCTCTCACACACACTGCAGGCCTCCCGTCTGCTTTTACTATACACTTGTCTAGCCCCATAGCACCCCATCCTAGCCTCTTTTATTTGCTCTTAATTCTGTTACTGTATGTTGTGGCTTCTAATATGCTTCCTTTTTCATGAAAACCAAGAAATAGAGGAAAGTGTCTTTACAATGGATTTTGTAACTGAAAAATCCTTATGGCTTAACTTAATTTTTAAACCTGCAATTGGGTCACTAAAGTTGAGGATTGGTTGCAGAAACTCTGCTCTCCAGAGAAGCATACATTAATAAAAACAAATAAAAAAGCAACAGAAGTCCCCAAACTCCCCAAACAAAACAGCGATATGTTCCAGTATAATATAAAAATTATATCTGTATCTATGGCACACACACATGTACACATATTTTTCAGCCCTAGCCATGTTACAGACTATAATGATAAGCTCTTCACAAGAACACTATGAGGGAGCTACTATTACTGTCTTCACTCAATAGGTAAGGAAATGAGGGGCTTGAGAGAGGTTACGTCACTTTTCCAAGGTCACCCAGCCAGCAGTGGAGAGTTAACATTTGAATCTTGGTTAATTTGATGCAACAACTATGCTGTGTAGTTTTCTTATGTTTCAACAGGCTCTGGGATTACAGAGGCTCTTCGTTTTCTTTTAATGCTCTCGGCTTATGTTCCAACTCATAGCCATACTATAGCACAGAGTAGAACTGCCCATAGGGTTTCCAAGGAGCAGCTGGCAGACTCGAACTGCTGACCTTTTGGTTAGCAGCCGAGCTCTTAACCGCTATGCCATCAGGGCTCCCTTGGCTTAGTTAGAGGTTACAAAAAGTTAAAAGGTTTGACTTTAAGCAAAATCTTATGGCTTGGTCCAGGTTTTGATTCCTCCTGTTAACTACCTTAGTTAAGCCAGAAATTTAATGAAATTGAACTCTGTCGTGGATTTGGAAGAAAATCCAACCCTGTTGCTAGTTGAGCTCAATGTAAATCTTTTAGTGAGGCCAACTGATAAGAGATCTATGGTTCCACATTATTAATATCTTCTTTTCATCTTTGACTACTGTGTAAATGTATCCTTCACAAAACATATTTATAGAAGTTGATAAAAAATATAAAATTATAGTATTGTCGATTTTAATTCGTGTTAGTTATGTTCTACAAAGTTACTGCAGACACTGAATTAGTGAACTTAACCACTGACCTGTGAGTTTCTGGTCACAACACTTTCATCAACTGATCAGTATATAACCTTGTGTGTTTCTGTTTAAAGACACCTTATTTAATATATATTGTTGATTCCTTAAGACTGAATGCATAGCCAATAGCACTAAATCTCACGACTGAATGCAGCCTAACACGTGTTTTCTCATGTACTTTCATCACAGTCTTTTGTGCTCAGGAACACTAGACAACATGTCAGCACTATGCTTTAGTGCCATTTTAAACAGCACAATAACCAACAAAAGCAAAAATATGAAAAACATGGCACTAAATAGACTATGAAAAGGACACTTGTTTATAGTATAAAAGCTACCACAAGAGGGCAGAGTGTCACATTGTTCGACCTGACCTGGGAACCTGTGCTCTGTGCATGTCCATGAAGGATTGAAAAGAGCCACAAGTATCGATTTTGGAGTCATAAATAAATTCTAGCCATACGCATATTTGCAAATACATAATCCATGTATAATGAGGATTGACTAATTTTTTTATTGTGATTTAGTTGAAAGTTTACAGAACAAGTTTGTTTCTCGTTAAACAGTTAATACACAAATTGTTTTGTGACATTGGTTGTCAACCCTGCAATGTGTCAACACTCTTCCCTTCTCCACCCCGGGTTCCCTGTTTCTGTTTGTCCAGTTTTCCTGTCCCTTCCTGTCTTCTCGTCTTTGCTTTTGGGCCAGTGTGTCCATTAGTCTCGTATACGTGACTGACCTATGAAGCACATCCCTCACGTTTGTCATCGCTGGCTCTATAGACCTGTCCAATCGTTGGCTGAAGGGTGAACCTCCGGAGTGACTTCAGTACTGAGGTAAAAGGGTGTCCGGGGCGGGGGGCCATACTCTCAGGGTTTCTCCAGTCTGTCAGCCTAGCAAGCCTGGTATTTTTCTTTCTTTTTTTTTTTGTGAATTTGAATTTTGTTCTACATTTTTCTCCCACTCTGTTCGGGACCCTGCTGTATTGTGGTCCCTGCCAGAGCAGGCGATGGTGGTAACTGAGCACCATCTAGTTGTTCTGGGCTCAGTCAGGTGGAGGTTGTAGCAGTTGTGGTCCGTTAGGCCTTTGGACTAATCTTTCCCTTGTGTCTTTGGTTTTCTTCTTTCTCCTTTGCTCCAGCTAGAATGGGAGCAATAGATATATCTTAGATGGTCGCTTACAGGCTTTTAGGACCCCAATCGCTACTCACCACAATTGGATGTAGAACATTTTCTTTATAGACTATGTTATGCCAACTGAGCTAGACGTCCCCTGAGACCATGGTCCCCAGCCCTTAGCCCAGTAGCTCTATCCCTGGACTGATTGATTTTAAAATAAGAAAGGACCTTAAAGATAATCTAGCCTTGTTCTATAGACATACAACGGAATATTACTCAGCCATAAAGAATAATGAAGTCCTGATACATGCTACCACATGGATGAAGCTTGAAAACATGCTGAGAGAAGTTAAGTCAACTACAAAAGAACAAATATTGTATGATCTCACTTATATTAAATATTTAGAATAGGCAAATATATAGACACTAAAGTTTATCAGTGGTTACCAGGGGTAGGAGGAAGGGGGAAAAGGGGAGTCATTGTTTAGGAAGCACTGAGTTTCTGTTTATGGTGATGAAAATTTGGCAACAAATATTGGTGATGGTTGCACAACATGTTTAATGTAATTGGTGTCATGAAATTGTACATGTAAAAAACACTGAACTGACAAATGTTGTGCTACATATATATTTACAATAAAAAAGTAATGCAAAAAATAATAATTTCAAGATGATAAAAGCCCATTTATTCCTGTAAAAAAAGATAACCTAGCCTTGCCTTTTAATTTATTACTATGAAGACCGAGGTGACTATGTATCCTTAATCTTTTCAAGGTTACAAGCTTTGGTAGCACTTATCAGAACCAGAATTTATTATTGGTATTTTTTTAAGCATGGAAGAAATGTTTCATAATCTTGTGACGTATGACCTTATCATACTCTGTAATCAAATATTTAGCTTACCTCCGAATCCATCAGGCACGTATGTTTTAAGCACAATATTGCAGAAAATGGTTGGCAGTGATAATGGTTTATTTCCTTCATTTCGAAGGGAAATGTGTCTATAGCCTGCCTGGAGGCCATCCAGTGGGAGAATCCTCTGGCCAATCAGCTTATTGTTATCATCGTACACTGCTATTCTCAAGACAGCCAGGTCCGGGAGGATCACCTACAAACAAAGAATAGGGCTTTTCATGGATTTTTATTGTGGTGGTGGTGGTGAGAATATACATACCAAAACATTTGCCAGCACAACAACATCTACATTTCCAATTCAAAGACATCGATTACATTTTTCATGTTGTGCCATCATTACTGCTATGCTTTTCCAAAATATTCTACCACCTTTAACATAAACTTAATGCCCCCCCAATAAAAATTCCTCTTATTTCCCCCTCCTTCCCATCTCTGATAACCATTAATAATCTTTGTTTTCTATATATTTGCTTATTTCATATACGTGAGATCATACAGCATTTATCCTTTTGTGATTGACTTATTTTGCTCAGCATGATGTTGTCAAGGTTCATTCATATTGTGGCATACATCAGAACTTCATGTCTCTTTACACTTGCATAATATTCCACTGTGTGTCTATACCATATTTTGTTTATCCATTCATCTGTTGATGGACATTTTGGTTGTTTCCACCTCTTGGCTATTGTGAATAGAGCTGCGATGAACACTGGTGTACACATATCTGTTTGTGTTGTTGCTTTCAAGTCTCTTCGGTGTATACCTAAGAGTGGAATTGCTGAGTCATGTGATAGTTCTATGTTCAACATTTTGAGGAACCGCCAAGCTGTTTTCCATATGTCTGTACCATTTTACATTCCCACCAGCAACAAACGGTGGGTTCCAGTTTCTCCACGAGCTTGCCAACATTCGTTGTTTTCCTTTCTTTTTTTGATCATTTACATTCTAATGGGGGTGAGGTGATAGCTCATTGTGGTTTTCATTTGCATCTAACAGCTATTGATATTGAGCATCTTTTCATGTGCTTGTTGGCCACTTGAGTATCCTCTTTGGTGAATTATTTATTCAAGTCCTTTGCCCATTTTTTGATTGAGTTGTTTGTCTTTCTGTTATTAAGTTGTAGAAGTTTTATATATATATTGGATATTAGGCCCTTATCTGATATATGGTAACTGAAAATTTGCTTCCAATCTGTAGGTTGTCTTTTCACTTTGTTGATAAATCTTTTGATGTACAAATTCACCAATTTTTACAATGCTGTTCCCAAGAACCACAACTCTAGGAATCTGAATCATGTCCATGTTGTTGTTGTTGGGTGCCTGTGAGTTGATTCCAACTCATAGTGACTCCATGTGACAGAGTAGAACTGTCCCATAGGGTTTTCTTGGCTATAATCTTTATGGAATCACTAGGTCATTCTCCTGAGGAGCCAGTGGGTGGCTTGGAACCATCAACCTTTCGTTTAGCAGCTTAGAGCTTAACCATTGCATCACCAGGACCATACCCATGCTGCTCTTAAATACTCTTTCATGGTGAAAATAAATCCATGCTCAATTTTCATTCCTAAAGTATACTGTACAAGCTACAGCATCTGATTCAGTGAAAGAGAACAGGTTTCCTGGAAATCATCTCATCAAAAATTTTAGATGGAATGGACGTTAAAGACTACTAGTCCAACCCTTGTCATCTCTCCCCATCCTTATACCCATGTCATGAGTAAGGAAACAGAGATCCTGAGAAATATAGTGACTTTCCTAATCTCACAGATGGTCAGCGACAGAGCTGGGCCTGGGAATTGTGTCCCTGACTAATCCTGCAAACTTTTACTACCTGTGCTGCTTCTGTGATCTAACTCTGCCTATTTTTAAGAACAGGGAGATAATTTTTTTTAAAGCTTCATGTATAAAAGACAATTTATATATAAATTAGGAATCTTCTTGCTTCTTGCATTCCTCAGTTTTAAACATATTTTGGGATATAAATACAATAAGATGGGGGCAGCTAGAAACATTAACACACTATGATCCCAAGACATCTACTCCTGCCATCCCCAAACTGAATACATGGAAATAAATTCTGAGGTCAGATGGCAGAATACATAAAACAGCAACACGATGAGAGTAAATGTAAGGTTCCTTAATGGTCTTTAATCTGGAATGCCTTTTTACTGGCTAAGAGCAACCAGGACACCTTGTTGAGTTGAGTACTATGTCTACAGCTACACAATGGATTTGTTGCCTATTCACATCTGGAGGTTATAACTGAATTCCAACTTCATAAAGATGAAGAGAAGAAATCAAGCTAAAAGTCAGCCAAATTCACTCAGTCCATAGTTCATCATGTAGTGGAAGGCCTTGCCACTCTTATGAGCTCAGAGCAAAGAACAATAATGACATGAAGGAAACAAAGTTAAGGCCCTTGATAGCAATGAAAGGCAACAGTGAAGAATCCAGAATTAGTATCTTGTTTCTGGGGCCAGTAATAGAGACCAAGTTTGATATTTCAGGCCTTTCTTTATTCATTAAAAACAAAGAATGCCTGCAGGCAACTTTCTGCCTTTGTACAAGTGTGTGCAGGGGTTATTTATTCTGCTGAAGAATACTACCCATCCTGGAAGCAGATCCAACTATCACAACTTAGAAAACCCATGGAAGAAAAAGATATAAATCACAGTTGTACACGCAATTTATACCACACCCTGGTAATATAGAGAAGGAAATGATGGAAGGTTATCTAGATAATGATAGTCACATCACAGGGTGAACCTAAATTTTAAAATGGCCTGTGTCATCTAACTTACATTGCTCTCCCATAATCTGGTTTCTGGAAGCCAGTTACTCTATTCTGAAGTGGATAATCCCTATTTTGTTAAGACCGGAAGCTGACTATCTGTGTTGCACAACATGCGAATTGAGCAGAATCACCTGGAAAGCCTGTGCCTAAAGAAGAAGGAAGTCATCATTTTGGTCAGGACAAGTGAACAAGCAAGAGAGACATGCAGATATTCTTGGAGACAGCACCGCCAACACATGAATGTTTCGATGAAACTTCAGTTGACAAAAGAGAAACAAAGGGGAACAATGATTAAGAGATTAAAAACTGAACATTACAGAAGGTAACTTTTACTGTTCTTAGGATACACTGTACAGTATGGGGAGAAAAACAAATAAAAAATAAGGCCACGCTTTCTGGAGGTACAGCACCAGGCCAACTGACCTATGTAATAACATTTATTCACCTTAGTTTTGAATGTAGCATATCACCCGCCCTGCTAGCTGAAGGAAGAGTGCAAGGTACTAGCTACGGCCAGGGTACAGAAGAACCTTCCAATGTATGATGGTGTCCCCAGCTGGGATGCATTCTAAGCAGACTGAAAACCTGGAGTTGTGGGATTGTCATGTAGAAGGCAGGCTCCTCCAAGGAGGAGGGGAGCATCAAAAAGAAGGAAGAGCAAGCAGCCATCTAAGATACATCTATTGGTCTCGTCTGGTCCAAAGCAAAGGAGAATGAAGAAAACCAAAGACACAAGGGAAATACTAGTCCAAAGGACTAATGGACCACATGAATCACAGCCTCCACCAGCTTGAGCCCAGAACTAGATGGTGCCTGGCTACCACCAACAACCACTCTGACAGAGATCACAAAAGAGGGTCCCAGACAGAGTGGGAGAAAAATGTAGAAAATTCAAAATCACAAAAAAAAAAAAGGTCAGGTTTACTGGTCTGACAGAGACTAGAGGAACCCTTGAGATGATGGCCCCCGGACACCCTTCTAACTCAGAACTGAAGCCACTCCCGAAGTCTACCTTTCAGCTGAAGATTAGACAGGTCTATAAAAGAAACAATAATAACACACGTGAGGAACGTGCTTTTTAGTTCAATCAAGTATACGAGACCAAATGGGCAACACTTGCCCAAAAGCAAAGATGAGAAGGCAGGAAGGGACAGGAAAACTAGATGAATGGACATGGGGAACTCAGGGTGGAAAGGGGGAGAGTGTTGACACATTGTGGGGATTGCAATCAACATCACAGATTTGTGTATAAATTTGTGAATGAGAAATTAACTTGCACTGTAAACTTTCACCTTAAGCACAATAAAATTAAAAAAAAAAAAAAGAAGGGCCAAACAGAAAAAAACAATCATGACAACTACAGATGTTACCCTTTAGAAGAAGTGGGGAAAAAAAAGACTTGTGGGTTGAATCACTCAGCCTCTTTACTGTGTAGTGTCTATGCACTAAAAATATGGCCCTGACGTTAGCAGAGCAAGTTGGACACGCTGAAAATATCCTACCTTCCGAAAGACGAATGATTCTTCATTGTAAACTGGATTGAGACCATTGTTCATTACCATACGAGTTCGGAATTCCTTACGTATAGTGTCTGTGGGCAACCCATACATATCCACTTCCACATACGTGCCAATTTTCTTATCTGATAAGAATTGACCTGATATGACCTGCAGCAACACAGAAATAGGATGAGATAGAAGTAAATTCTGTAACTATCAATAGCAAAAATAATCAGGATGTAAGAAATCCTCTTTATTTTTGGAAATTTTTACTATCTATTGAAATAATGCATTCATGCCTTATTAAATCAATCACGATTCAGCAACTACTGTGTGCCAAAAAAAAACCGTTCTAGGCAGAGATTCTACCTTCAAGGACTCTTCTAGAAAAAGAAAGAGGAAAATATGCATTAATTATATAAAACAAAGAAACAGTGTCCAGTGTTTTTACTCACCTTAGCATCCACACTGAAATAAAGTGATGGATTCAAATATGCCCTAAGAGCCCTTCATAGCTCTGAGATTCTTTTGTGCTACATTTATTACCAAATTACTTTAAAAGTCTTGAAAAGAGACACACACACACACAAATAGCAATTCTAGAATCTGCCTGTTGTTCCTTCCTCTATCAACACCAGCCAGCTAAGACAGTGTGATAGATTTTAATATATTGTTACAGAGCAGTGTTAAACTCTATTTATTATGAAGCTATGGAGAGACTATTTTTCCTTTAGTTGTCAAATGACTATAGCCATTTATTTATAATTTTTCACATTATCTAATAGTTAATAATTTTAAAATAGCTTTGTTGCGGTATAACTGACATACAATACACTGTACATTTTTTAAAGTGTACAATTATATGAGTTTTGACATCACATCTGTGAAACCATCCCCACAATTAAGATAGCAGATATTCTTTGTGCCCTTTTGTCATCCATCCCCCACCATCCCTGTTCAGGGGCAATCACTTTCTGTCACTATACATTATTGCATTTTTTAGAATTCTACATGTACATAATAAATGCAATCATATATTATGTACTTTTTGTTGTCTGGTGTCTTTCATTCAAAATAGCTAATAAATTCACTAGTAAAAAAAATGTATGTCATAAGAACAAAAGAGGAGAATTTAAGTAAAAGTTAAGCAACATGTCGATCTTGCAACACATAACATTGAATATTTTCAGTGTGACTTCTTAAGAATTTCCCAGTTTCATTTTTAGGCACATCTATACTACTCTGAAGACCAGTTATCTGAAGTTCCACTGGTTAGTTTACAAGAGAATTTACATATTAAATTTAATAAAGATCAGAACATAACCATCATTTCACAAGGGTCTTACCTGCACTGAGCAAGTGGCTGCGATAACCCCATCAACAGGAGTTTCAGAGAAGGGATCAAATGTTCGATCGGGCCGCCTCATGAAATCTGGTTTGAGAAGGTACCTGGTGGGGCAAAAGTACAGGAAGAACTTCTTTTACTAACTGCTTTTACAGACTCCCCATTCGTTTGAGACACTGAATATTTCCTTTTCCTCTTCTCTAAATTAGGAGCTAGGATTTTAAGCAGAGGGTCCAAAGCACTGAACTAAAGATTTCTAACCATAGCTAGAAAAATCTCACACTAATACATGAGCAGCTTGTCTAAAGCAGATCCTTTAGCAGATCTAAAGGAAAATAGAAGTGCTTTTTCCAAAATGATAGGCTTGCTTTAAATTGCAAAGGACCAAAATTTGGGAGATTAAATCTCTTATTTTCCAAAGGAGCACAACCCGCACCAGTTCCAACTTTGGATGGTATCAAACTTACTACTATCTCGTGAAATACAACTAAAAGGGATCCTGAGGTATAATACTCTTCCTTAAAGAAAAGTGTAATGTCACATTTTTTTATTTTGTCCAAAACCATTCATTGCTACCAAAACCACAGTGTTAAAAAGTAACCCCACATTTAACTTTGATTTAACTACCAAAAAAGAACCTTTGAGGGAGAACAACTGGTATGTTGATCAAGGACTTGTTGCTATTATGTGTTACTGAGTCGGTTCCAACTCACAGCAACCCCTATGTACAACAGAAGGAAACACTGTCAGGTCCTGTGCTGTCCTCAAAATTGTTGCTATGTTTGAGCCCACTGTTGCAGACACTGAGTCAATCCACCTCGTTGAGGGTCTTCCTCTTTTCTGTTAATACTCTACCAAGCTTGACGTCCTCCTCCAGGGACTGGTCCCTCCTGATAACATGTCCAAAGTACATGAGATGATGTCTCACCATCCTCGCTTCTAAGGATTATTCTGGCTGTACTTCTTCCAAAACAGATTTGTTTGTTCTTCTGGCAGTCGATGGTATATTCAATATTCTTTGCCAACACCATAATTCAAAGGCAGCAATTCTTCTTTGGTCTTCCTTATTCACTGTCCAGCTTTCACATGCATATGAGGTGACTGAAAATACCATGCCATTGGTCAGGTGCACCTTAGCCCTCAAAGTGACATCTTTCCTTTTTAACACGTTAAAGATGGTCTTTTGCAGTAGATTTGCCCAATGCAATACATCATTTGATTTCTTGACTGCTGCTTCTACGGGTGCTGATTGTGGACACAAGTAAAATGAAATCCTTGGCAACTTCAATATTTTCTCTGTTTAGCATGATGTTGCTTATTGGTCCAGTTGTGAGGATTTTTGTTTCCTTTATGTTGAGGTGTTCTCCGTACTGAAGGCTGTAGTCTTTGATTTTCATCAGGAAGTGCTTCTAAGTCCTTTTCACTTTCAGCAAGGAAGGTTGTGTCATCTGCATGTCGCAGGTTGTTAATGAGTCTTCCTCCAGTCCTGATGCCACATGCTTCTTCATATAGTCCAGCTTCTCAGATTATTTGCTCAGCATACAGTTTGAATCACAAAAAAACAAAAACAAAAACAAAAAAACCTGTTGCCTTCAAGTCGATTCCGACTCATTATAACAAATTATGGATAACATTGTGAAGAATGGGAATTCCAGAACACTTAATTGGGCTCATGCAGAACCTGTACATAGACAAAGAGGCAGTTTTTTGAACAGAACAGGGGAAGACTGTGTGGTTTAAAATCAGTATAAGTATATTCAATCTGTATAAGTAAGGTGAAAGGATACAACCCTGACACACACCTTTCCTGATTTTAAACCACAAATATCCATAATTTGTTATGATCTTCACAGTCGAATGTCTTGGCATAGTCAATGAAACACAGGTAAACATCTTTCTGGTATTCTCTGCTTTCAGCCAAGATCCATGTGACATCAGCAATGATATCCCTCATTCCACGTCCTCTTCTAAATCTGGCTTGAATTTCTGGCAGTTCCCTGTCAATGTAATACTGCAACTGTTTTTGAATTATCTTCAGCAAAATTTTACTTACATGTGATATTAATGATATTGTTCGATAATTTCTGCATTCCACTCTTTCTTTGGAATGGGCACAAATATGGGTCTCTTCTAGTCAGTTGGCCAGGTAGCTGTCTTTCAAATTTCTTGGCAGAGTCGAGTGCACTTCAGTGCTGCACGCGTTTGTTGAAACATCTCAATTAGTATTCTGTCAAGTCAATTCCTGGAGGCTTGTTTTTTGACAATGCCTTCAGTACCACTGGTTCTTGATTATATGCTATCTCCTAAGATGGCTAAATGTTGATCAATTCTTTTTGGTACAGTGACTCTGTATTCCTTACATCTCCTTTTGATGCTTCCTGAGTCATTCAATTTTTCACCCATAGAATCCTTCAGTATTGCAACTCAAGACTTGAATTTTTCTTCAGTTCTTTCAACTTGAGAAATGCTGAGCATGTTCTTCCCTTTTGGTTTTCTAACTCCAGGTCTTTGCACATTTCATTACAATACTTTATTCTGTCTTCTTGAGCCACCCTTTGAAATCTTCTGTTCAGCTCTTTTACTTCATCATTTCTTCCTTTCACTTTAGCTCTCTACATTCAAGAGTAAGTTCCAGAGTCTCTTCTGACATCCATTTTGGTCTTTTCTTTCTTTCCTGTCTTTTAAATGACCTTTTACTTTCTTCATGTATAATGTCCTTGATGTCACTCTACAGCTTGTCGGGTCTTCGGTCATTAGTGTTCAGTGTGTCAAATCTATTCTTGAGATGGTCTCTATATTCAGGTGGGATATACACAAGGTCGTATTTTGGCCCTTGTGGACTTGTTTTTATTTTCTTCAGCTTCAACTTGAACTTGCATACGAGTAATTGATGGTCTGTTCCGCAGTCGGCTCCTTACCAGCTTGTCTTAAAGGAGTGTCTGTCCTGGGTCTGGAGGCAGCCTGTGGAAGCAGCAGAGCTGCCATTCACAATTCCTTCGTTTCTCATTCTTTGTGATGGTTGTGCAGGCCGAGGGGCCCCAGGCATTGATGGGGAAGCAGAAGACAGAGCCTGGTGCCAGACCTGGCTTTATGGGTGTGTGAAGTGTGCAGTCCCCAGCTTAGAAGGGCTTCATGCTTAGTAGAATGCTTTGCAACTTGCATTTTGAAAAGCTTAATAATTTTTAAACAAGGGCCCTTCATTTTAATTTGCAATGAACCCTACAAATTATGTAGCTGGCTCTGCCTGGTGCATTTTTTGTACAGGAAATTAACTCATTCTAGGCATCCAGGTCTGTGTGGTAGACATGGGCAAAAGCAGAAGTCAACGGCAAGTAGAGGAATTCAAGGATCTCCCTGTTCCTTGCAGGGCCTTGAAAAGCAAACACAGAGAGAAAAAGGGCCTTCAGCCAGGTAAGTGTATAGCAGCCACAAGAATCAGAGGATGGGGTCATGAGGAAGTACATCATATTTCATCACACCTCAAATGCCATCAGTTACACACTCTATTCTACCACCAAGAAAGAAAAAAGGCTGCCGATTATGATTGTTAAATGCCATGGATTGTCAGAAACACTCCAATTTAAGGATGTTATATAAAAAGTATGCATCTTTGAATCATAAAATGTCATACTATTTTGATATCATTCAAGTTCTTATGAAAACCTAAGATTTAGATACTAATTTACTCTATTGTGTTCCATTAATAATTAGAGAAACGCTTTCCATTTTTCCATCTTTAAAAATGAGCCAGTAATAAACCACTGGTATCTCTGCTGATAAAAAATCACTTACAGGGCCCCGTGGTGCGGCCCAGCACAGTACCCCACAGAGCAGAGAGGGATTCCCAGGTGGGTTGCTGAGGTTTTCTTACTGTTGTCAGATTCAAGAAGTGTTCTTGTGTTTTGCTCATTGATGTTCATATCAAGGGGCTATTGTTTGCCACCTTAGCCTGCAAGGCACAGAATGACTTTACAGCTCTCAGAGGAATCCCACAAGGAATTATTGAAAAGCCCCTGCAGGTGGGTGGAAGAATGACAGGAGCAACACAGTGAGAGCCATACAGTGCCTCTCTGGTGACCTGCTCCATGGAAACAGGCTCCTGTCCAGGGCCAGCCCTGTACCTACATCACTGAAGGGCAAAGTAGCACAAAGGTGAGAACATGTCTTTCCTTTTCCCTGTGGATGACCACCTTTGCCTCCAGGCTGTGTGTGGGAGAAGGGAACAAGCGTGAGACTTTTGACACTATTGTCAATGTCTCTTAAAGTTGGGCTGCCCTGCTGAAGAACCTATTATTCAGGCTCTCTGGTAGGAAGTGAGTCTCTGGGTGGTGTAAACGGTTAATACGCTGAGCTGCTAACCCAAAGGATGGAGGTTTGATTTCACCCAGAGGCACCTTGAAAGGAAGTCCTGGCAACCTACTTCTGAAGAATCAGCCACAGAAAACCCTAGGGAGCACAGTTCTACTCTGACACACATGTGCATGCCATGAGTCACAGTCTACGCGAGGACAACTGGTTTGTTTTTTTGGTTTGGTGGGACTTATGCTTTTGGTCACACTGCCTTGAACATTTAAGCACAGAATTCAGACTAAAGTAGCACTGTCCTTGTTTATGAACATATTTTAAGACAAATATCCATGTGGAACATGCTAACTATGGCAAAACAGAAAAAGAAACATACTGAATGCACAGAAACCCTGTCAGGACCTCTTATATCTAGAAGCAATCCCACTTCCTGCGTCAAGCCAAGCTGCCAGTAGGTGGCAGGGCCTGAGGTAAGAAGGGAGGGAAGCTCCTTAAGCATTACTGGGCCACTGGAAAGGTTCAGAGGCGTAACTACAGCCAGGCCCAACCGGTCCTGAGTGAACCAAGAGAACCATGGTGACTTCCCTGGGCTTCTTAAAGGCCCTGTTTGAACAGAATGCTCATGTAATCTTGCAAGGTCTGTGTGTATGATCCACCACAAGGCCTTAAGCTTTTCTTAAACCTCACTTGGGCACAGAACTTTGTGGTTCATGAAGAACTATCACATCCAATCACTCGTACAACCTTACTGAGCTGCCACCACAAATCCTGTGTAGTAGCTGTTACTGGCCTCATTTTATCAAGCACACCTGAGTCTAACACATCTACCCAAGGCAATATAGCTAGTATGTAGGGGAGCTGGGGTGTAACTGGGTCATCAGTTTCCAAGTGGCCTCATGGCTACAGACACGACTGGGATCTACTGATCAACTTACTTACCCAGCACAAAATCTCCTGGTTATGAACACTTGGCATTAAATGTTATTGTTGCTGTTAGTTGTCTTCAAGTTGGCCCCTGGCTCATGGTGAGCCCACGCACAATGAGATTGGACCTTTGTGATCCACAGGGTTTTCACTACATGATTTTTGGAGGCAGATACCTCGGCCTTTCTTCCTAGCCCATCTTAGTCTGGAAGCTCTCATGAAGACTATTTAGCATCATAGCAACATGTACTCCTCCACTGACAGATGGGTGGTAGCTACGCTTCAGATGCATCAGCCGGGAATCGAATCTTGGCCTCCCGGATGGAAGGCAAGAATTCTACCATTGAATCACCACTGCCCTCTAAATAACAAAATAGTTTTTATTTATTTTTTATTGTACTTTAGATGAAGGTTTACAGAGCAAATTAGTTTCATTAAACAATTAATACACATACTGTTTTGTGACATTGGTTGCCACCCCATGACATGTCAACACTCTCCCCTTCTTGACCTTGGGTTCCCCATTACCAGCTTTCCTGTCCCCTCCTGCCTTCTCATCCTTGCCCCTGGGCTGGTGTGCCCATTTAGTCTCATTTTGATTTATGGGCCTGACTAATCTTTGACTGAAGGGTGAACCTCAGGACGACTTCATTACTGAGCTAAAAGGGTGTCCAGGGACCATACTCTCAGGGTTTCTTCAGTCTGTCAGACCAGTATGTCTGGTCCTTTTTTTTTTTTTTTTTTTTTTGGTGAGTCAGAATTTTGTTCTACATTTTTCTCCAGCTCTGTCCAGGATCCTCTGTTGTGATCCTGTCAGAGCAGTCTGTGGTGGTAGCCGGGCACCATCTAGTTGTGCTGGACTCTGTCTGGTGGAGGCTGTGGTAGTTGTGGTCCATTAGTCCTTTGGACTAATCTTTCCCTTGTGTCTTTGGTTTTCTTCATTCTCTCTTGCTCTAGATGCGGTGAGACCAGTGGAATATCTTAGATGGCCACTCACAAACTTTTAAGACCTCAGACGCTACTCACCAAAGTAGGACGTAGAACACTATCTTTATAAACTATGTTATGCCAGTTGAGCTAGATGTTCCCCGAGATCATGGTCCGCACAGCCCTTAGCCCAGTAATTTGGTCCCTCAGGGAGTTTGGATGTGTCTACAGAGCTTCCATGACCTTGCCCTGGACAAGTTGTGCTGGCTTCCCCAATATTGTGTACTGTCTTACCCTTCACCAAAGTTACGACTTATTTATTGTCTATTTAGTGTTTTTCCATCCCTCGTAATCATCAAAGATTGTTTATTTTTGTGTGTAAACCTTTTCATGAGTTTTTATAATAGTGGTCTCATACAATATTCATCCTTTTGTGATTGACTAATTTCACTCAGCATAATGCCCTCCAGATTCATCTACGTTGTGACGTTTTGCAGATTCATCACTGTTCTTTATTGCTACGTAGTATTCCATTTTGTGTATGTACCATAGTTTGTTTATCCATTCATCTACTGATGGGCACTTAAGTTGTTTCCATCTTTTTGCTATTGTGAATAACGCTGCAATGAACATGGGTGTGCATATGTCTATTTGTGTGACGGCTCTTATTTCTCTAGGATATATTCCTAGGAGCAGGATTGCTAGATCATATGGTATTTCTATCTCTAGCTTTTCAAGAAAGTGCCATATCGTTTTCCAAACTGGTTGTACCATTTTGCATTCCCACCAGCAGTGCATAAGAGTTCCAATGTCCCTGCAGCCTCTCCAACATTTGTCATTTTCTGTTTTTTTGATTTGTGCCAATAATGTTTGGGTGAGATGGTATCTCATTGTGGTTTTGATTTGCATTTCAGTAATGGCTAGTGATCTCGAGCTTTTCCTCATGTGTCTGTTAGCTGCCTGAAAGTCTTCTTTGGTGAATTGTCTGTTCACATCCTTTGCCCATTTTTTAATTGGATTATTTGTCTTTTAGTTGTTGAGGTGTTGGATTTTCCCATTGATTTTAGAGATTAGACCTTTGCCAGATTTGTCATAGCCCAAAATTTTTTCCCAGTCTGTAGGTTCTCTTTTTATCCTTTTGGTGAAGTCTTTTGATGAGCATAAGTATTTAATTTTTAGAAGATCTCAGTTATCTAGCTTATCTGTTTGCGTATTGTCAGTTATGGTTTGTATACTGTTTATGCCATGTATTAGGGCCTCTAGTATTGACTTTATTTTTTCTTCTATGATCTTTATTTTTTTGGTTTTATGTTTAGGTCTTTGATCCATTTTGAATTAGTTTTTGTATGTGATGTGAGGTATGGGAACTGTTTCATTTTTTTGCAGACAGACATCCAATTTTGCCAGCACATTTGTTAAAAAGACTGTCTTTTCCCTATCTAATGGACTTTGGGCCCTTGTCGAAGATCAGGTGACTGCAGGTAGATGGATTTACATTTGGGTTCTCAATTCTGTTCCACTGGTCAGTGTGTCTGTCACTGTACCAATACCAGGCTGTTTTGACTACCATAGCCAAAACAGATTTTAAAGATTTCTGAAATGATATTTGACCCTCTTGTTTCTGACTACAGTTTTTTTTTTTTTTTTTTCTTTCAAAGCCCCCAGCAGAGGAATGTGTAATGATGCTCCAGCTCTGTGGAGGGAGATTTGGGTACCAGGGCTGTTATCTGCGGGAACGCGGGCAGGGCATGCAGGCAGAGGTAGTTCGCTTTGAAGTGCCATTCCTAACCTGCAACCCCTGAAAAATTGTACCTTGACTGGCTATTTTTTGTGGTAAAAATTCGATATCCAACCAGAGTAGCCACCACAAACTTCCTGACAGCAGCACTGTGGGACAGGATAGTACTCCACTGGATTAGTGCCAAGACCGCTAAGATTATTTACCTGTAGTGGTGCTTGGGGGCAGGTGCATGGGGGAAAAATGGCCAGAGTTTCTTTTCTTTATCTCTATAGAATTCTTACTCCCAATTTTCATTTTAACCTTTCAGCATTTCAGTGATATTACTATTTCCTAATTCATTATTTCCACTCCTTCTCTGTCAAATCTGTCATACTGTGGTCGCTTGTGTGTTGCTGTGACGCTGGAAGCTGTGCCACTGGTATTTCAAATACCAGCATGCTGGACAGATTTCAGTGGAGCTTCCAGACTAAGATAGACTAAGAAGAAAGGCCTGGCAATCTACATCCAAAAATCAGCCAGTGCAAACCTTATGGACCATAACAAAACATTGTCTGACTCTCTTGCTTGGACATGTCATCAGGAGGGATCAATCACTAGAGAAAGACATTATTCTTCGTGATGCATAAGGCCAGAGAGGACGAGGGTGAGCCTCAGTGACATGATTGGCACAAGAGCTAAAACAATGGGCTCAAACATGCTGACGATTGCAAGGATGATGCTGCACCAGGCAATCTTTCAGGACAATCGGGAGGATGATGCTGGACCAAGCAATGTTTCATTCTGTTCTACATAAGGTCACCATGACTTGGAGTCAACTTGACAGCAGCTAACAACAACAGCAACAATTCACTAGTTCACAGATTTTGGAAAGTGCTATTGAAGTCAGCCAGAACAACATTCATAGCCTTATTCTTGGATAAATGCTATTTCCAAGACATGCAAAATAAAGAAGAAAGGTGAAAGCTTTATTCGAGGCTGAATTAAATTCAAATTGATACCCACAACTTCATTATATAGTAAGTTAACTTCATTCCTAGAAAATTTGTCCTAGGTAAAATATGTACACATATTTTGGTATCTTTGTCTCTAACTAATGTTCAAATGATCCAGGATCACCATCTCTCCCAGCTATAAAAACTTCCACTACTGAAGTGAGAGCATTAAACTCAAGTGTATGATGAACTGCTTAACTTGTGGTCTAAAAAAAAACAAAATCTGTTTAGTAACAGTGGGGTAGATGAAGAATGGATATTTGCAAATACAAGCCACCTAGGGGTTCCATTTGTTTCTACCCTATCTCTCAAACCCAGCTTAAATTCAGCAGCCCCTAATTAAAAGTGACATTGCTTTCATTATTGCTGTAGTATGGAGTTCTGAAGCAAGGTGACAACAGTTTAAATCACATTACTCACCCGCACGATCCATTATACTCAAATTTTCCCTGATTTAATTGCATCGCTAAATCTGTCAAGAGACAAAAATAATTTAGCACCTTGTCTCCCTGGGCAAAGAAGACCCTGATAGGGTAATTTCAAACAACGGAAATCAGATACTGGTTCCTGACCTCTGTAACGCCACAAGGTACCGCCGGGTCTGTTTAAGCCATACAACTCTTTCTTCAATGTTGAAATGATCTCATATTTAATTTAAATTACTATACTAAAATGTGTTTTCATGAAGACCATGCTAGAATTACTAATTTCCCGTGTTTGGTTTAAAAACTGGGCTCAATATCCAAGTCATACAATTGTTCAGTTAGTGCTAAGAGTACAAATGTCCAATCTGGTATGGTTGGAGACTATGTACCTTATGACCCCACAGGAAGGGGGCACTGGAGATTCACATATCCTTAGGGTAAAAATCAATTAGGAGAAAAAAAAAAACAACAGGTAAGCTTTATGTAAAAATCAGTGGCTTGTTCTCAGTGTGAGACTGGGGAAGAATTCTTCTGGTGGGGTGTATGCTGCCAGGGCATGGCTTATGATATTTCCCTTGCAGTTGGACAAAATCTTTCTACTTACCAACAAAAAAAAAAAAGGGAAAACTGGTGGATTTTTTTTTTTTTTTTTTTTTGCCATTCTTCAAAATATTGTAGTTAAATCTAATATTCTAAAATAAAACATCAGCTGACCTGGTGAATAAACTTCTTTAGGATCATTTAATCCATGTTACAGATTCATTGACCAACTGGGAATACAACTTGAACACTTTTTAAGTAACGAAACCAGCAGTGACTTTTCATTTTATTTTGTCACTGTGACAAACACTTTGAGCCCAATGAGGACACCATACAAATTAGTGACTCCAGTGGGAGGGGCTTCTGGTCCCTGAGGAGGATCAACCAAGGGCAGGACACGCAGTCAACTCACATTCATGGAAAAGGGATGAGAATCAAAAAATCTTTCAGTCAGTCCAGATAAGAAAGAGTAGGGTGGGCAAGGTTTCTCAAAGTACAGTGGATAGGCTAGAAAAGGGAAAACAAAAACAAAGAAAACCAAACCCATTGCTGTCGAGTCGACCCCGACTCATAGTGACCCTACAGGACAGAGTAGAACTGCCCCACAGGATTTCCAAGGAGCGGCTGGTGGATTCGAACCGCCAACCTTTTGGTTAGCAGTTGTAGCACTTAACCACTGTACCACCAGGGCTCCTAGAAAAGGAAAATGCCCCCAAACTGGGAAGACTGGAAGGTAGCTTCATGTAGCAAACGAAGGACAGAAAAAGAAAAGGGTTTTCTACTGGGTTTAAGGACCATGCTTAATCAGAGAATTCTCAAGAGGAATTAACCACAGAAACTGAACAGATCTCTCATCTATCTTAGGTGAGCGACTAGAGCCTATTATTTTGCTGCCTCTAATCTCGTCATTTGGAGCCCTGGTACCATAGCGGTTAACAGTTCAGCTGCTAACTAAAAGGCTGGCAGTTTGAATCCACCGGCCGCTCCTTGGAAACTCTGTGGAGCAGTTCTACTCTGTCCCATAGGGTGGCTATGAGTCCGAATCAACTTGATGGCAACAAGTTTTGGTAATCTGATCATTGTGATCCTAAGCTGTTAAGCAAACCTCAAATTATTTTTAAATTTGTTTATGCATCTAAAAAAATTTATTCCTCTCCTTCTAGGAGGAAAAAAAATCATTATATATTAGAAACCTGCCTTTGAGCACACTTAGAGGACCAAGTTATAGATTAGCACCTCTAAGAATATATAACTCCTCACACGCAATTTTAGCAGAGTCTACTTTATAATATTCTATAACTTTATGGTGAGGTGCCACTGCATTGTTGATGTCTGCTCAGTGTTAACAGTGGTCAGGGAAATTTCCAAAAGATAATGAACTATAGTTCCTGCACAAAGATACTCAAAATCTTTAAATAATTAAATTATTCTCACTTAATCCTGTCTTTGGAAACAAGGATAAAAATTTCGATTCAAAAGGAAGAAAAATTAGAAATATTATGGTAGAATAGGGGACAATGTTTAGCTAAGTAGTCCATGGCATTTATAAAAGGAATTTTACTTTAAATCAAAATATATTCTCTTCTACCATTGTTGTATTGCTCTACTTTGGGTTTTTGATTTCTCACTTTTATACAAGCCCCGCAACATTGTTTTTGCCCTATGCCTGCTCCCTTTAAAAAATGTTCACAGTCAACGGATGGCAACTGTTAGCATCACCCTGTCAAAGGCTTCCTGTGGAATTTGGGGTCACTGGACATCAGCGCCTACCTGGGGTTTGATAGTTCAGTGAAACCATCTGGCAGCCAGCGTTCCAGAAAATCTGAGGCATGTAATTACTGGAATCCACTCGACCTCCCTTGGGGTAAATGCGACTCATTTGCCGTTTGTTGTAACTGTGTTAATTTATTAAGGACAAAGAAAAAAAAGAGTACGAGTCGGAACCGACTCAATGACACCTAACGACAACAACATGGCAGAGATAAATAGTTAAAACATCAAAGGTCTGGGCAAACAATGACAAACGGGAAGATAACATAGAAAATCTTCACACTTATAAATAATGCTGAAGAGAAAATCACATTGGTGGTTTATAGGAACAACTCACATTTGGACAGACTTTCACATCTGCTGTCGTCTTTCACATTTTATTAGCTATACAATCAAAATTATATGCTAGCCATTTATCTCTTGTAGAGACTCTGCTGAACTAAAAATGCACCAATCACTGAACACATAAGGATACTTCACAAATTCAATTGCGTGTGTCTTCAAGTAGCCTAGACCGACTGATTCATTAAAAGAAGACATGTTGTAATGGATATTGCGCTCTGTATAGAAAAGCAAAGACGTATTAAGAAATCCTGTCTTCGAACCCTCACAGAAAGACAAGCAATAAATGTAATTACATCCTGAACCACAAGGCTTTGGAGGCAGATGTTATCATATCAGTAGCTCCTACTTTCATTAATGTTCTGTAGATGGAGACATTTCCTTAAAAAAGAAGTGTGACGAATTAAATTTTGAGTCATTAAACAAATTATGTATACCCCAATTGCCACAGCCACCCCTGAAATATGAATTTTTGATGATGATGGTGAGGGCTTCTCTAGCCAAGAAATGATTATGGAAAGTTTTATAATACTTGGTATGTTTTTGGAGACCGGTTTCTAATTAAGGGAGGTTTGTGAAAGCATATGGAATGCAAGAGGCTATGTGAAAGCATATGGAATGTAAGAGGCTATGCTGAAGGCCAGGGCGAGTGCTAACAAATCCGCAGTCTGTCGGAGACACCCTGTGGATGATGATGAGAACAACAACACAATGCCACTGCATGCCAAGCACATTTGGATGCGTGGTGTTTGGAATAAAAATAAGGTGAGCTGCAACATTTCCCACCCCAGAAAAGAAAATGGCAACAACTCACATCAGAGCTTATCAGCACAATAAAAGAAAAGCAGACAAAAAGGCTATTGCGTTTAACCTTTGGTGTTACCTTCAGCCACATGGAAACCTTGGAACTTCACAGGCTGGGCATAGTTGATCATTGTGGACAAATATGGATGTATATTAGTGGTAGCACCTACGTATTTATAAGATGCCATCCATGCCTGCTCATCTTCTACAGTAACCAGGCCCTACAAGCACAATGAAGGGAATATACGTCCGTGACTTCAGTGGGACTCACAGATAATGCCGCAGACTTCCTTACAAAAGCTATATTGGCACTTGTACATACACCCAAATTGATAGATGATAAAGACTTTTTTCTTCCTTAATTATGCTAAAGGATAGTTTAAAAAGTTAAGGTCTACTGTAGTTCTAAATAATACAGAGGTAGGTAAAAATTAAATATTAACTCTATCGCACATTTTTAGGGCGTTTTTAGATTCTCAAAGGACTTTAAAGTATTCAAGGAACTATACTGAGCCTCACAGCAATGCTATGAAATGTGTACAGCAGGTATTATTCTTCATATTTTCAAACATTGGGGACCACAATTACATAGCACTGCTCTAGAGTTTAAGCCCCATATCTAAGTAGTTTTTTTTAAAGTTTATTCATAAAATAATCTGACCCTACATGGGACATGTTAAAATTGCATTATTTTGCATAGAGGAAAAGAAAACAAAAACTTGCAGTTTATTTCTGGGTAAATCAGAAACAAAATCAACAAAATCAACAAAAACAAATAAGCTTTCGAAGGTAATCAACATTTTCTAGAGAACTTTGAAATGCTAAATTTCCTGCATAGATTGAATATAGACGGATAAACTGTTTAGTCACACACATCAATTCCTGAGTAAAAAAATGGTCAGAACATTTGTTTGTCTCAGTTGTTAATACTCTGAGCACTCTAAATCATCAAATGGATTTCACTTGAGATAAATAATTACCTAATGTAACTTTTTTAAAAAATCTTTTTTTTTCCTTGAATGTCCTGACACCTCATATAAGAGCAGGGGCTATGTCTGATTCCTTTCTTGTGTGTTTAATGGTAATAAGTAACACCAATACTATGTGCTGGGCACTGGGCTGAATTGTTTGCATGCGCAACCTCATTGCTGTCAGGAACCCTGTAGGGTAAGTATTAGAGTCTTATCTATTGATTGGAGCCCTGGTGGAGCAGTGGTTAAGAGCTCAGCCGCTAACCCAAAGGTTAGCAGTTCGAAAATACCAGCTGCTCCTTGGAAACCCTATGGGGCAGTTCTGTTCTGCCCTATAGGGTCGCCATGAGTCGGAACCGACTCGATGGCAATGGGTTTGGTTTGGTGTTTGGGTATCTAGTGATCATATGAGAAGACTGAGGCCTTGAGGATTTAAAAAAACCTCAGTCAGAGCCACTTAATACATAGCAGTGACCAAAGGTCAACCAGGGCACTATTGATTGTAATACGTTAAGAAATTATAGTAGGAGAGAGAGGAGTGTATTTACTAACATCTTGGAAGGAGACTGTGATAATATTTACTCATAACTATTACAAGTTTAACATTTAGACAATAAGAAGATAGCGTATCACCCAAATAAGACAGGAGCCCACAGAGAGTAAGACAATACTTTTTGAAGCTCTGAAATGTGGGAATCAAGATACAAGGCAAATTTCTACATTGACTGTCATCAATTTTACTGTCATACAATAAACCATATACATTTACCGAATAAGAGCACCTTGATGATCAGGAAAAATTTTGAAGAGGATAAAAGAAACTAAAAATACAACTTTATTTTCCTTACATGAAAGCCAATATATAATAACAGCAAATAAAAATTCTGGAAAGTATGCAATGTGAACTTTACTAATGATCTTTCAGAATGTCAATGTAGTTGGAACTACTATCACCTTTCTCTTACGCTAATATATCGATTTGATGACTTATTAGGTCATTTTCATTATCCAATTTCATATATTGATGATTATGTCACCCTATTTTAGAAATGAAATCTCTAATTCCACCTAAGAAAACTCCTTGCTGCACTAAACACTTATTTGTAAGAAAATCATTAATGATTTAGGTCTAGGCCTCTTATTCGCCTGCCCTATTCTGGTGATTTTATCAGGATTTAATAATTGTATCACTGTGATTCATTCTTTTCTGTGAAGATTCTTATAAGTAGATGCATCAAGCATATGCATATTATACCTACTAACAGTAAGCCTGACATTCCACGGGGGAAGACAGAGTAACAACAATACTTAGTACAAAATGTTCAGTGTTAGAGGGCCACATATGGGTGTCATGTAATGAAAACAAAATATGTGAGGCAATTTTTTGCTACCTTTTTGTTATTTTCATGTTCAAGATCATCTGAAACCTAAATTAAAGAAAAAAAATAATGTTTACATCTCCAAAAGGCAACAACCTAAATTTACTAGTCATACATATAAATATGTAAACAAATATATGTAAACACATATTTACATATATTTACATGTTGTGGTCTGTTATGGATTGAATTGTGTCCCCCCCAAGAGATACGCTGTAGTCCTAATTCCCAGTACCTGTGAATGTGACCTTGTTTGGAAACAGTCTTTGAATGTATCAGCGAAGTTAACATGAGGTCATACTGGAGTACGTGTGTTGTCCTTACAAAGGAGGAGAAGCAACACAGAGAGACACAGAGGGAAAAGAGCTACTTGAAGATGGCAGCGGAGATCAGAGCAATGCATCTACAAGCCAAGAAATGCCCAGGACTGCCAGGAATGAACAGAAGCCAAGAGAAAGGCAAGGAAGCATCTTCTCCTAGGTCTTAAGAGAGAGCATGGTTTTTCTGACTCCTTGAATTTGGACTTCTAGCCTCCCGAACTGTGAGAGAATACGTTTCTGTTGTTTAACCCACCTACTTTGTGGTGCTTTGTTATGGAAGCCTTAGGAAATGAATACATGGTCCCTCTGCATGGAAAGTTACTTCTCTATCTCTGTGCATGGTTGATTCCTCTTCACCCTTTGGGCCCTGGCTTCCTTATTCCTTTCACCTCATTATTTTCCATTTTGGCACATACTGTCATTTTATCACATACTGTCATTATATAATTATTTCATTGTTTGTTTGTTGTCTGTAACCTACTGTCTTCACCTAAAATCCCATCCGACTATAAGCTCCGTGAGGGCAGAAAGTAAGTGTATTTTGACTCTTCCTGATCGTCATGGTCTAGACTGTGCCTGACACATAGTTGGTACACATCATATTTTTCTTGGCTGATAGGTGGAAATATTTCATGCTTACTCTACATTAGGAAGGTGATTCCTAACTTGTAGGACTGGTTCTCTAATGAGAACTTGGCTTGGGATATTCGGGGGTAATTTTCCTGATAGCTTCAACAGGCTAACCTTTGTTTGCTATTGTGATGCTTTTGTGGTCTCCTCATCCAATGATAACATTTAAAGGATACTGGCCAGATGGGTAGTGGTCAACACTGGATGTGATTAATGAGTAATTTAAATGTCCTTTCATACTCTCGTGTGTGTCTCAAGCTCAATGCAATTCCAGTCCCCACAGAGAGACTTTTGTCCTTCTAAGCAATTTAGAAGAGGAATTGCAGGGTACTTATTCTTTTGTGGTTGTCTTATTTCCAGAATTTCATAACTAGCAGCTGCTATCTCTTGAGAGTCATGACAGAAAAAGGACACAAAGACGCTGACCTTCTTGACGCTATTTGCAACAGCTTCTTTGTGACCCAAGTCATCAGCAGAAAGTTCACTGCCAAATTTGAATTCAGGATGAGCTTCTTCCTCTGGGTCAGCTGCATGGAAGACAAAAGGAAAATCTATGAAGCCAAATGACTGCCAAGCAGTCAGACCTTGTCTGTAGTCTTGGGGAGAACACAGTGCTTTTAGAGGGAAAGGATGCTAAAAGGAAATGCAAACATTTAAATATGCAGTTTTTTTTCAAGTAAACTTCTCACTAAATTCTTAACTTCTCACGCTCAAGGACCACATCTTGTTTATTTTTCTATTTCTCCTACATCTAGCATGGTGTTTGACATACTTACGCTCAATACATTTTTGTTAAGCGAATAGCTATCTCTGCCCCAGTACAACACTAACACTAAAAATTAAAGCCTCAAACACCTCAGGACCATATGTGACTCATAAAAGGATATTTTGATCTTCTACGACACTGAGAGAAAACAAGAACTACACGCAGGAAAAGAAAACACAATTTGATAATTTTGAAAATGATACTACAATGTCCACTTGAGTACTACGGACATAATGACTTGGGGATTGGAGAGGTGTTACATAAAAAGGAAAGACTTTAGAAGGACTGTACTGATCCTGTAAAACATCTGTCAAACTTGGCTTAGGTTTAAAAAATTCTGAACTTCATTCTCAGGCTCATGCTAGGAAGGAAGCTGAAAGTGGGGTGTTAAATAAAGCTGGTGTCCAAGGAGCACGGCCTAGACTGTGACAGGAAGCTCAGAAGCACTCGGTCTACTGATCCAGGAAAGAGATAAGAACTCTGGACCCCACCCAAGGCTGCTGGTGGAAAAAGGATCGCCCCTTTGAAAATGAGCCACGTGTTGGTGTGGGATCTGGAGTCACACCATCCCCATTCTACAGGAGCCTCAGGTAAGGAATACGCTTAAAACCAGCCAGGATCAGGAGAAGCCCACAGGGCTCAGGGTGAGGCAAACACGGAGCCCCACTGCCACAACACAGGGCACGAAGAAACCTTATTGTGGGGAAAAAAAAAAAATTCTGAGTATGAACTCATAAGGGAGATGAACAGAACCATAAGAATTAGAGGTATTTTTTTAAATGCATGTTTAACATGTTCAAAGTGAAAATGCAACAATTGGAGTGAATGAAAATGATTTTGCTAATTCTAAGATGCATTTTCCCCCACATTTTAATACTTCTGACACTGTAATATGCTCTTCACTCTATGGCATTTTACAATTAATTGGAAGCAGTTTTTCTCAGTTGTACATAAAACAGTGGTGCCTTTCAATTGATGGTATCTTGGATTAGAAATTTCTTGAGGGACTACCTTGTGTTGGGTGCTATTATACTCATGGGAACTAGGTACAGGCAAGGGAGACCAACAACCTCCTCTTATAGACTGATATTCTGGAGAGGGGAGGAAGACAATTAAAAAAAAAAAAAAGTAGGTCAGGTAAGTCTTGGGCAGGAAGAAGATCTGTAGAGCTGGAGTAGGCCTTAAAATAATCTAGTCCAGTGTCCTCGTTTTACAGATGAGGAAAAAGATTCAAAGATGTGATTTGACTTGTCTGAGGTCAGAGTAAGATGTGGGCCTAGAATTCTCCTGATTTTTAGCACAATGCTCTTTCCATGATGTTGGGCTGCCTTCCTCTGGTTTGTAACTAAGACTGTGAAGCTCCCACCATCACTATTCTATTTCCATTTCACATATGTCTAGTCTTACCTCTCAGCCATATGTAAACCACTCTCAGCCATATGTAAACCACTTGAAGGCAAGGGGCATGTGCCACACAATTGGTAGGGACTTAATAGCTACTTTAAAAGAGTTGTATGAACGGATTTTATCATCTCTTGAGTTTGCATGTGTATGCAGATATACCCACAAACACATACAACTTCTGGTATTCCCCACTGGTTGCCTCACAGTCCTGGGAGCCACACATCTTTCTGAACTAAAACCCCACCTAACTACTGGGCACACGCTCTCACTGCCTGAGAGCCTTTTCTATTTTCTACAGTCCCCAGGCAGCCACGTCCTCTTGAACTATGCTTGGTTTTCCCTTGCCTGCTGTTTTGATATATTTAGAGACGAGAGTCATTCATGTATACTTGGATCATGTTGTTTCACCAGCGTCATTACAGCCAGCTGGGTGACCAGAACTAAAGCTATGTATTGCTGACAGAACCTAAAAATCATACACAGTAAGTGGTATAGGAGAAGCCTCTGTGTGCTTCAAGAGGAATTCAGATGGATGATTCTCTCCTCTCAGGTCCTTTCCTACCTGTATAGTATCCCCTGTGGCTATTTCTGTTAAGATTTAGTAAAAATCTCAAGAATGTTTTGGAATAACACAGGAGTCTCTAGTAGCAAATGTTTTTCTGCCTATCAGAACAATTACCATACACATGTAGAAGGTAAGAGAATAGCCGTAAGGATAAGTGGAATCATAGTGACCCTCATTTTAGTCTACTGTGTGTGCTTGGGAATCTTTGCATCTTTGGTTTTCATCAGTTATATTCTTTCTCTTTTAAAAGTATTTTTAACAACTGTTTTGCATACTTGTGTCCTCTTTGTATTCCTGTATATTAGAAGGGCAGTATTGTAAGATACAAAGGGTCTTGACCCTGGAGTCAGATAATTCTGGGATTGCATCTTAGCACCACTGCTTGACAGCTGTAGGATGGTGACTCACTGAGAGCCTTTTCTGTCTTCTACAGTCCCCAGGCAGCCATGCCCTCTTGAACTATGCTTGGTTTTCTCTTGTCTACAGTGTTGATGTATTAAATTAGAGACAAGGGTCATTCATATATACTAGGATCATGTGTCACCAGCATAATTACAGCCAACTGGTCGACCAGAACTAAAGCCAAGTATTGTTGACAGAATCTAAGAATCATACACATTAACTGGTATAACCGTTATATTATACGACATACTAATTACCTTATCTCTCTAAGCTTCAGGTTCCTCATCTGAAAAATGAAGGTAATACCGACTTCATTTATGTATGCAGATGAGATGAGACAGTGATGTAAACTGCATGGTCCACAACAATGGTAGTAGTTGTTGTCATTACTTTTATTAGTGCTATTTTTTTTTCTTGTTAATGTATTCCATTATTTCTACAGTTTGTTTTATTGAACCATAAACCCACCAAAATCAATTGCCATCAAGTCAATTCTGACTCATGGCGACCCTACAGGACAAAGGAGAATTGCCTGATCGGGTTTACTAGGCTATAATCTTTATGGGAGCAGACTGCCACATCTTTCTCCCTTGGAGCTGCTGGTGGCTTCAAATGGCTGATCTTCTAGTTAACAGCCAAGCACTTAAACCACTGTGCCACCAGGGCTCCTTTTATTGGACTATAGTATCTAGTAATGCCTTACATGTTTTTGATGATCATCTGTGAAACTTAACCTAAGTTAAGGAATTGATTTTATTTAATATTCATCTTTTCACATTTAGGAGTATTTTATAGATCTTTTGAAATATATTTCTTTTAATACTTTATACCAAAATCTTGTTTAGGTTTATTATTTGCAAAAGTGTGAAATAAAGTAACAGGTAGTATGGCAGACCCGATTTTCCAAAGACAGCTGCAATAATATCTGCTCTCCCATGTACTCTCATGCAATGTGACCCTGACACTTGTCCACCCCCTTGAACTTAGGTTGGCCTGAGACTGCTTTGAGGAATAAAATATAGACAAAGTGATGCTGTGCCAGCTCCAGTCACAGCCCTTAAGTAGTCTGCTGCTTGTCTCTTGGAACACTGGCTCTTGAAATGCTCTATCTAGGAACCAAGCCGCCATGCTGTGAGAAGCCCAAACCACATGGGGACACCACATGTGGGTGCTCCAGTAGGTAGGCCCAACTAAGCTCCTAGCAGTCAGCCAGAATCAACTGCCAGCCATGTGAGGGAGCTATCTTGGACAACAGGCCCAACTGAACCTTCAGGTAACTCCAGCCCCAGATGCCGTCTGGTGGTAACTGCATAAGAAACCCAAAGGAACTCAGATGACCCACAGAACTATGAGAAATAACAGAGCCAAACCAAACCAAACCAAACTTGTTGCTATCAAGTTAATTCCGACTTATAGCAACCCTATAGGACAGAATTGAACCAACTGCCCCACAGGGTTTCTAAGGCACAGCCAGTAGATTCGAACTACCAACCTTTCAGTTAGCAGCTGAGTTCTTAACCACTGTGCCACCAGGGCTCCTGAGAGATAATAGTAGAGTGTTATTTTAAGCCTCTAAATGTTGGGGTAGTTTGTTAAACAGTAATTCATAACCATAACAGGTGTCAAATTGAATAATATCAGCTATCTTTGGCCTTCAAGACCCACCCTGCTAAATAAAACATATGAAAGTATAATGACTGCTCTGGGAGTGGAGTCAAATCCATGGCTTACCATGCAACTGAGTCATTTATGAAGTCTACTGTAGGGTCAGGAGTCTTGAATAAAATTAGCTAATTATCTCAGCTTTCACGTTTTTACTTGTAATATCAAGTTTTCCTAAAATCCACTCCTGTATTTTAGACATTTGGGTAATAGATGAGAGAGTTTCTACAAATATTTCTAAATTATTTAGTCCAAAGCCTCTATATAAATCCAAGGCACTGTCTAATCAACAGACACACAAGTGTAAGTCTATGTTATCTTGTTAAATCAGTTCCCATGATATATAATGAACAAATAATTTGCTAAAAACATCCTGAAACTCTCAAACAATCCATTTAAAACCAAGCATTACAGTTGTGGTTGAATAAGTATGGTGAAAAGATACAACCCTGATGCACACCCTCCCTGACTTTAAACCACACAGTATCCCCTTGTTCTGTTTGGACAACTGCATCTTGATCTATGTGCAGGTTCCTCATGAGCACAATTAAGTGTTCTGGAATTCCCATTCTTTGCAATGTTAGCCATAATTTGTTATGATCCACACAGTCGAATGCCTTTGCATAGTCAATAAAACACAGGTAACCATCTTTCTGGTATTCTCTGCTTTCATTAACAACCTGCATTATGCAGATGACACAACCTTGCTAGCTCAAAGTGAAGAGGACTTGAAGCATTTACTGATGAAGATCAAAGACTACAGTCTTCAGTATGGA